CCCCAAAACCCCAAAACCCCAAAACCCCAAAACCCCATAACAGCTTTAATATGCTGAGCTAATGATTATTAAATATGGGCCAAATTTCAGAAATATGGAAAAATTTAAGCTACAATCAGATGTGCTTTTTAGCCATGCTGGTTCCGATGTTCACATTCTTTCCAAAGATCTACACATATTCAGATAGTTTCTCAAGACAGTTGAAGCTTGAACGTCCAGATTACGACAGTGTCCAGTGGAGCGACCTCATCCCAATGCTTCTCGTAGTGCCTTTATTCACAGTAATAAAGCGCATTTGTAAACATCTAATGACTCCTTATTTCGAAGGCAAGCTTTCGAAAAAGTATAATGGGAATGCATTGAAGTTGAAAGTGTACAAATCAACCAGGAATTTCTTCAAAATCTTTTACTTCACCTTCATAACTTTGTTCGGATTCTACGTATTAAATGGCACTAATTATCAAACAAAATCTATGTTCGGCAACGGAGATATTCGGTACCTTTACTCAGATTGGCCTTACCAGGAGATGCCAAGGCACTTAAAATTGTATTATTTAATTGGGTTAAGCTATCATGCTGAGGATACGATTGCTCACTTTTTTCATCCTATTCAAAACGACTTTTTCGAAATGCTTCTGCATCACTACATTACACTAATGCTTGTTCTTGGCTCATACATGACCTCCTTTTGGAACATCGGGCTAATAGTGATGATACAGATGGACAATGGAGATGCTATTGGGAGTGCTTGCAAAGCATTCATGGACTTCGTCCCTGTCCCTGTGGTACTAATAAACTATCTCATGATCCTGTTCAGCTGGATATATTTCAGAGATATCATATTCGCTATTGAAACATTCTGGCAAGGATGTCTGTTCGGTCAAGTCTTGATAAATGGAGAAACTAGCTTCCATATTTATAGTATAATTCTTTTGATGGGTCTCATATTACTAAACTTATACTGGACATTCCTTTTCTTCAGAATGGGATATAGATTCATCTCAAAGGGAGAAGTAAAAGACCTGCAGAATCCAATAGAAGACCTGAAAAACAAAAAATTGAAGGAAAAGATTGAGAATTGTTCTTAAGCATGTTATCCTTTGTCAGCAACAAAGTGATGAAAGATAAGCTTTTAATTCTTATCAAGTGATTTCCTTTCCTTACCTTCTTGAAATTCTCCTTAAAAGGAAGCCACACTAATAGTTCCATATTTATCTAATAAAAGCTGGCAAATTCAAATGAGCCTAATAAAAATGGGGTTTTGGGGTTTTGGGGTTTTGGGGG